CTTAGGTAAGTGATTGCAGCCCTTACTACAATGTTCAGCTCTAGGACTGAAGTTCCTCCAAGATTGTTCACCACTAAAGCTACCCTGTCCCCTGTAACATTTGAAAAACAAAACCAAGCAAGTTCAAAACATGACAATTCTAATATTTCTGATTATAATAAATTTAATGGATAGCACTTAGAACATGATAATATATAATTGAATAATTATTACTATCATAAAGATATCTTGTATAAGTTAATTGATGATTTTCTCTATTCTTATAATAAGATATTAATAAATTATAGATACAAGTACTGGACAAGAACTATAAAATTAATACAAGTACTATATGCACAATAAATATTATTATTTATCTTGTATATAGTATTTACAGTTGTAGTTCCAGTGCAACTGACCCTGTTTAAGGCTCAACTTGTATGTCGCTCCACTCTGAACATCTGACATATGATCAATCATGGTCTTGACAACNACATGATAGTATATAATTGAATAATTATTATTATCATGAAGATATCTTGCATAAGTTAATTGATGATTTTCTCTATTCTTATAATAAGATATTAATAAATTATAGATAAAAGTACTAGACAAGGACTATAAAATTAATACAAGTACTATATGCACATTAAATTATTTATTGTACATATAGCACTTGCATTTGTAGTTCCAGTGCAACTGACCCAGTTTAAGGCTCAACTTGTATGTCGCTCCACTCTGAACATCTGACATATGATCAATCATGGTCTTGACAACTTTGTCAGCCTTCTCAAGCTTAAACAAGAAACCAAACATTTATGGAAAGGAATTTTTCATATTGTAGTTCCAAAACATATTCATACTTCCCCCATGGAAGGGATTTTATCTAAGACCACCCACCCCTCTGGAAATTCCAGTTAATCATAGTATCTTTCTTTATTAAATTTTTTGGTCTTAGTGAACCTTCCACCCCCAGGAAAGTCAAATCCAGGCTTCTATGGCGGGGGGGGGGGGTGGGGGAGTATGTATATTTTCTCAGGAACTGCACATTTCGAAAAAAACAAGTTTGGAAGGAGTATTGTGACTAAAGAATGGGCTAGGTTACTACAAAGAATTCCAAGCAGCACAACTTCTCAAGTATAATTTAACAACAAAAAGCACAAGTACTTGTACATGTTCTATTGTCACTAGGTATGATACCTTAATTTATGATATATGAAACATATGTAACACATTCCACATTCCACAAAAGAAGGCTTAATATTAATATTTATGTTACAAGTTACGTGATGGTATTTTGGCATCTGAGAATCTATCTCTGGAAGTATGCAATATATTGTCAATTCAAATGTAATGTACATCTTATTTTCTACGCCATGACTAGACCTTATGTCACTTCATAAATCATTGATCTTTTTTTGTTCTGATCACCTGTCTGTTTGAAACCTTTCTAACATTAAGCAATGTAAAGAGAAATCTTGTGTTGATCATTTATAATGAGACTTGTACATTATTTGTGCAATACCTTGACTCTTTTCACACCAGGTTCTCCATGAATGCCTGAAGAAATAAAAAGCCATATTATTGCTCATTTATTTTCTTTTTAATTCCAGTTCAGTAGGGACCCTAAGATCTAAAAATGCATCTATGCACATCAGAATACAAGAAAATTGCACCGATGACTGTTTACAACTATCTGCTCCTACTTCCTGGCCAGCAACATGCTGGAGCAGTTTCGGAAAAGATGATGATAATGATGACGAAGACAATCAAGATGATGAATAAAATGATGATGATGATGATGATGATAATTATTATTACCGTTACTTAACTGTAATAAACTTTTGAGCCTAATAATTAGGCTCAAAAGTTTGTTGTTGTTAGTTAGGCTCAAAATTTGTTGTGGACTCACTCGGCTGTGCCTGTGAGTTGCTAAAATTTTGACCACTGTAATGATGCGCATCGTTGTCGATAAGAGTACAGACCATGCTAAACCACATTCGATTTGTTAATTTGAAAATGTAAACATTACTATAAATTTAAAGAGAATTGTGAATGATAAAGCAGAACAGTCAAGCTCTCACCCAGGCCTAACTCCATTTCATCACTGCCCAAAACAAAGGACGGTAGGGATCCTGGCAGACTGCAAGGAGCTAAACTCACACCAATGGTTCCTGGAATAAAGAATACATTACATATTTAACAACAGTTACTGACATGTTACTGAAATATAGGAAAGTTTATATATCAGTCAAATAGAAACATCAATATCCCCCCAGGTATACTTGAGCATTTGTTGTGCTTGAAGATAAATATATTAAAAGCAGTTTGCTCATGAAAACTTATTAATCACTTTAATTTATATTTTAATTAATGATATATTAATAGATTCATAGACCTGGGGCACAGTGGAAGTTCTAGCTGGGTAAATGTACATGTATCTAAGAGTGATTTTGTTTCTTTTTTGTGACTCATTTTTACCACATATGTTCTTACTGGGGGGGAGGGGGTAGGGGCCTTTGAATTTGATTTCTGAGAACGATCCAAAGGTGGGGCATCTGAACACAATTTTGGCCCAGGGGATAGAAATTTGACCAACTGAAAACTCAAAATGTTTAATGTCTGAGGAGATGCCATAGATGGTGAAGTTTTGAATTGACTGATACATTAAGTCTGCTCCAATGCAAGTAATAACCATGCGACCACCATATCTAAGGGCACTGCACCCCAGTCATAGAGGATTTTCCACATAATCCTAACACATTAGCAGTTGCCCATGCACCATTAAAATAACTGACAAACAAATGTCTTGAAAATAGCATTCAATAATCCTAACACATTAGCAGCTGCCCATGCACCATTAAAATAACTGACAAACAAATGTCTTGAAAATAGCATTCAATAATTATTGTGTTAATGAACCTGTGCTCAAGCATCTCTCCCTTAAATTAATGTGTTATGCACAATTTATATACGGTCACATACCCATGGCTTGAGCTGCAGATTTTGCCACTCGTGTTATTTCCTCAAGAGATTTACCTTCCTCGGCCAGTGCACCTGCAATCTACAAAAAAAACATTACACTTAGGCACATAATTAGCACTGTGTAACAGTTTAATATTAGTAGGAGGAGAGCTGGTCTAATGGTGTGAGTATCAGGGATTCTG